GCTAATCACAAAATTATCAATCCCAGGATAGTTATCAAAAGAGAGCTTCTCAAGATTAGGAACACTATAGACTGTTCCAGTGGGATCAGTGTTACTGTTAGAAAATAGAAGAGGTTGTTGGTTGTATGAGTAGAATAAGTGATTTTAGTGAGGTGTAATGTAGATGATGTGTTTTAGAGGAGAGCTCTTGTCTCTAGAAAAGTAGTATTGTATTGATGTTTCTTGGTTTTGCTTGGTTTGCAAATGAGTACAATGAGTCCTATTTATAGGAGCTAGAGGATCATTCTAGATCCTTATTAAATGCTATGATTCTAGAGTATTCTACATCTATGTCTAATTACTCTAGATTTTACATAAGAATTCTCTAGTAGAGAATTTTCTAGAATACTTTCTAGCTTTAACTCTCTAGATCATCTCTAGCCTTTTCTACATAGAATATTCTAGATAAATGCATCACTATTTAATACTCCTCCTTGATGCATTTGTCGGTGACTCCAAGCATTCTTCGCAGAAACTGGAATCTGTCTCTTGGCAGGGCCTTCGTGAAAATATCTGCCAATTGTTCTTCTGTTGGGCAGTACTTCATATCAATATGCCCCTTTGCTTGGACATCTCTCAAGAAGTGATACTTGATATCGATGTGCTTAGTACGATTGTGCTGAATTGGATTTTTAGCCATCGCAATAGCTGACTTGTTGTCGCAAAATATTTGAGTCGCATAACTTTGCAATTCTCCCATGTCTTCTAATATTCTTTTTAGCCATATAGCTTGGCACGCTGCTCCGGCTGCTGCAACATACTCGGCTTCGGCTGAAGATAGTGCAACAGAATCTTGCTTCTTTGATCCCCATGAGAAAATTCCCGAACCCAGCTTAAATGCGTAACCGGAGGTGCTTTTCATGTCATCTTGAGATCCAGCCCAATCACTGTCGCTATATCCAGTTAGTCGTGATTCAGGAGTTGTTTTGTACCAAATACCATAATTAATGGTTCCTTGTAGATACCTAAGGAGTCTCTTTGCCGCTCCATAATGAGTCTCAGTTGGACTTTCCATGAACCTCGAGAGCAAACTTGTAGCATACATGATGTCCGGCCTCGTAGCCGTTAAGTAGAGTAGACTCCCAATCAAACTTCGGTAATTGGTTGCGTCCGTCTGCTTTGACCCATCTTCTTTCTTCAATTTTTCATTAGGAACCAGTGGAGTAACGACGGCTTTGCAGTCTTGCATTTTAAACTTCTGTAGCATGTCCTTAATATATTTTTCTTGAGATAAGAATATGCCTTCTTCTTCTTGACTTATCTCCATGCCAAGGAAGTAGTGCATTAATCCCAAGTCACTCATCTCAAAAGTGTTCATCATGTCTCTCTTAAATTCTTCAATTAATTTGGAATTATTTCCCGTGACAATTAAGTCATCAACATATAGAGCGACAATGAGAATGTCAGATTTACCTTGGGATTTGATGTATAGTGTAGCCTCGTTCTTACTCCTCCTGAACCCTTGACGGGTGAAGTATCCATCAATCTTGCTATACCACGCTCGTGGAGCTTGTTTGAGCCCGTAAAGCGCTTTCTTTAGACGAAGAACTTTTCCTTCTTCTTTGATGAATCCTTCTGGTTGTTCCACATACACTTCTTCTCGTAGCTCTCCATTAAGAAAGGCTGACTTGACGTCTAGCTGATAAATTTTCCATTTCTTCTGAGCTGCAAGAGCTATGAATGTTCTTATTGTGTCCATCCGGGCAACTGGTGTAAACGTCTCTGTGTAGTCAACTCCCGGTATTTGAGCATACCCCTTTGCAACCAGCCTTGCCTTATGCTTCTGAATTGAGCCATCGGGGTTCAGTTTTGTTTTATACACCCATTTGACTCCAATAACCTCCTTGTTATGTGGAAGATCTACCATTTCCCAAGTATCATTCTTTTCTATCATTTTGATCTCCTCCTCCATTGCTTTAATCCAAACTTTTTCTTTGGAGGCTTCGGTGTAGCTATATGGCTCCAAGGAGCAAAAGTTGCATGTTTCATAGATGTCAGTAGACTCATATAGGTCTGCTAGAGTTCTTACCCGAAGAGGTGGGGACTCTGGCGAGGAGTCGTGATTTCTTGATGTATTAGCTTCAAAAGAGGATATTGGAGTAGACGTGGGGCTTTGTTGATCGTGATTTTCCTCTTCTGGTTTTTCCTCTAGTTGGACAGTAGTTGTCTTTCTTTCAACTTTTTCTGTCTCCCAATTCCAAGAGGCTTGCTCGTCAAACTCCACATCTCGACTTGTCACCAACTTCTTTGTCTCGAGATTGTAGATTCGATATCCCTTGGATTTGGAGCTATAGCCAAGGAAGATGCCCTTCTCTGTCTTGTCTTCTAATTTGTGCCTTTTAACAGAGGGAACATGAATGTAGCATATGCTTCCGAAGACCTTCAAATGTTTGGCTGAAGGCTTTTGTCCAGACCATGCCTCAATAGGTGTTTTGTTTAAAACCGCCTTAGTTGGACACTGGTTTAGAAGATAGACTGAAGTATATACTGCCTCTGCCCAGAACGTTTTAGGCATTCCTTTTTCAGCTAACATAGACCTTGCCATCTCCATGACTGTGTGGTTCTTCCTTTCGGATACCCCATTTTGTTGTGGAGTGTATGCTACTGTTAGTTGATGCTCTACACCTTCATCTTCACAGAACTTGTAAAATTCTTTTGAGTTGTATTCGGTACCTCGATCGCTTCTCAACTTCTTGATTTGATGACCACTCTGTTTCTCCACGAAGTTCTTGAATCTCTTGAATATTCTAAAGACTTCGGATTTTTCTTGGAAAGAATACACCCATGTCATCCTAGAGTAATCATCGATGAAGAGTATGAAGTACCGGTTCTTCGAAACTGAAGGCGTGCGCATTGGACCGCAGACATCGGTGTGGACAAGCTCTAGTATCTGTTTGGCTCTCCATGTCTTTTCTGTTGGAAATGGTTGCCTGTGCTGCTTCCCAACCATACATCCTTCACATACTCCTTCTTTTTCATCCAGTAGAGGCATGTCTCTCATCATCTTCTTTTGGTGTAGTAATCTCAAGGCATTGAGATTGAAGTGCCCAAATCTTCGATGCCATAGACTCGTATCACTCAGTTGAGCCACCATCGCCTTTTGTGGATATTGCCATTGAATAGGAAAATTTCTATTATTTCCCATTTTTACTTCAGCAATTTCTTGATTATTGTTCTTGTCATAAATTCGGCAAGAATTTTTCTCAAAGTGCAAGGCATATCCACATTCCATCATTTGGCCAACACTTAGTAGATTTTGTGCAAGGCGTGGCACTAGGCGAACGTTTCTAATAAAGCGCGTACCTTTCTTTGTATCTATGACAATGGTACCTTTCCCCTTTGCCTCCACCAAATCGCCATTGCCCATCTTGACTTTTGTCTTGATAGAGGTGTCTAAGTCATGGAAGATGGTCTCGTTGGATGTCATGTGATTGCTGCACCCACTATCGATGTACCACTCTTCTTCTTTTGCTTCTATGGCTGAGTGAAATGCGTAGAACATGTACTCCTTCTCCTTAAAATCTTCAGAATAGTTGGCCTGATAGTTTCTTCTATCTCTGCAATCTTTTTCTTCATGCCCAAACCTCTTGCAATTTCTGCATTGTGGCTTTCCTCGATGGTAGCAGTCTTTCTCTAAGTGATTAGTCTTCTTGCATATTTTGCATGGTGGAAAGTTCGTCTTCCTCTCCTTGTTGTTAGAATTCCCATCTTTATGTGGTTTAAAGTTTTCACCATTTCTCGAGTGATTCCTTTTAATGTTGAGCTTAGACTGAAAGACACTTTCTAATGAACTTTCGTGTCGTCTGTTTAGCCTTTGCTCACGTGCTTCTAGCGACCCCATTAATTCAGTGATGGACATTTTTGATAGATCTTTTGACTCCTCAATAGCCGAAACTACTGGATCATATTTTTCAGGGAGACTGATTAGGACCTTCTGGATTATTCTCTCGTCGGTTATGTTTTCTCCAAGAGTTCTCATTTCGTTGACTATATGTATAACCCGAGAGAAATAATCTTTTGCCATTTCAGAACCTCTCATCTTTAAATTTTCGAGCTCTCTTCTTAAACTTTGTAATTTAATAGTTCTAACTTTCTCATTTCCTTGAAATTCCTCCTTAAGAATATCCCAAGCTACTTTTGCCGTAGTAGCACGAATTATTCTCGGGAAAATAGTATCACAAACGGATTGTTGAAGAAGATAGAGAGCTCTAGCATTTTGTTGTTTTTGTTTCTTACGTACCTCGGAAGTTGATGCGTCGTCGCTTCCTTTTTCCGGCATGATGATTCCTTCTTCAACAATATCCCAGAGATCATGTTATTCTAGGAAAGTCTTCATACGGACACTCCAATAGTCATAGCTTTCTCCATTGAACATCGGAGTTGATACCGAGAAGCTTGATGTCGCCATAATGCCTGCTTATGATCGAACCTGGCTCTGATACCACTTGTTAGAAAATAGAAGAGGTTGTTGGTTGTATGAGTAGAATAAGTGATTTTAGTGAGGTGTAATGTAGATGATGTGTTTTAGAGGAGAGCTCTTGTCTCTAGAAAAGTAGTATTGTATTGATGTTTCTTGGTTTTGCTTGGTTTGCAAATGAGTACAATGAGTCCTATTTATAGGAGCTAGAGGATCATTCTAGATCCTTATTAAATGCTATGATTCTAGAGTATTCTACATCTATGTCTAATTACTCTAGATTTTACATAAGAATTCTCTAGTAGAGAATTTTCTAGAATACTTTCTAGCTTTAACTCTCTAGATCATCTCTAGCCTTTTCTACATAGAATATTCTAGATAAATGCATCATTATTTAATAGTTACACATATTATTATTATTATTATTATAATTATTATTATTATTATTATTACTCCTATTATTGTTTCATGTAGGGTACACTGATCATTGAGGTATGCCTCAATTATTTCCTCCTGTAATATTACTATATATGCATGGCCTTGGCTCAATAATAAATGGGCAAGACTTCCTATTCTTTCCTGCTTTATATCGTATTTCAATAATATCAATAATATCAACATGGTATCAGAGACTTGCTATTTTCGAACTCTTTAGTGATATTTCTTCCTCATCTCCATGGCTATTGGAGAGGATACAGTTACCCCTTCCAAAATAGAATACACTTCTCCGTTTTATTTGGGTCCTCAAGATAGACCTGGAGATTTTATCACTCCAGTTCGTCTCACCGGTGAAAATTACGATGATTGGTCAAGTTCTGTCCGCCTTGCACTTCGCGCTAGGCGTAAATTTGTCTTTGTCAATGGTGTTATCAATATGCCCGAGCCTCCTTGCACTGAGGAAGATTGGTTGACTATACACTCCATGTTAGTCTCTTGGATTTTGAATACTATTTCACCAGAGGTAAAACTTACTTTGTCTAAATTTGATGATGCAAAACTTCTTTGGAATGATTTAAAAGAGCGTTTCTCGGTGGTTGACGGTCCTAAAATTTATCAAGTAAAAACCGATATTGCTAGATGTGAACAATCTAAATCACAGTCGGTTGCCACCTATTATGGGAAGCTTAAAGTTTTGTGGGATGAGCTTAATAATTATGAACCATTGATAAATTGCTCTTGCGGTAAGTGTACTTGTAAGGTCAATACTTTACATGAACAACGCCGAGAATCCGAGCGATTCATCAATTTTTAATGGGATTATCTTCAGAATTTTATGGACAAATTCGTTTTCAATTACTTTCCCAAACACCTCTCCCCACACTTAATCGGGCGTTCCAACAAATATCACAAGAGGAACGGGTGCGTGGAATGGCTCAAAGTAAGGAACGAGATGAAAATAATGAAGTCATGGGGTTTGCACTTCGGTCAGACATCCAAGGAAAACTGAAATATGAAAAAATTGATAAATCTGGTTTAACTTGCACTCACTGTAAATCTCGGGGACATACCGGTGCAAGCTGTTTTGAAATTAAAGGTTATCCAGAATGGTGGGGCAGCCGCCCCAGATTGTCTGAACGAAATGTGAAGTATTTTCCTCCGTTGGATGGGCGCACTATGCATCGTGGACAAAAATATGCAGCTGCCAAAGTCAACTCTACTGTTATTTCTAGGCCCACTGTCAACCCTGCAGGTATGGAGCAACATCTTATCTCTCCAGCAGTAGGTCTCCAGCTAATGCATGCGTCCAACACTCCAGGGCCAAGCCAACCAACATCTGCAACTTGCAGTTCGGATGTCTTCTTCAACGATGATGGTCCCCAGCATGCTGCTCGTCTCTCAGGCCAGCAGGATTTCTCCATGGCAGAAGCTCCTCCGGCCAGCTCCCTATCGCCGATCATGGAAACGGACGCTCCATTTTTTCCAAAGCTCAGTGGCACGCACTTATGGCGGCCTTTGGTCCGCCACCCTCTCCGTCCAACCGCATGCATGGTACGTTTGATTCCACTTCTTGGATCATTGACTCCGGAGCTTCTAATCATGTCACAGGAAATTTTTCTTGCCTCTCTCACATCCGTAATATTACTGCTCGGCTAGTTGGCCTTCCCAACGGTCACCAAGCCATGGCTACTAAAGCTGGACGGGTATTCTTATCCACACATATATGCCTCCAAAATGTGCTATATGTTCCTCAACTGACTTTACTATTTCTGTACCAGAAAATTGGTTCATTCCCTTACTGTAACCGACTCAACTTTATCTGTGGACATTTGGCATCAACGTTTGGGACATCCATCCGAAACAATTATGTCGTCTCTTTTTCCCATGCATAAATCTAATAAAAATTTGCCATGTGAAATATGTCACCGAGCTAAACATTCTAGGGCTCCATTTCCTACAAGTACTAATAAAACCACCCGAATATTTGAACTCGTTCACTGTGATGTTTGGGGCCCTTATCACACTCCCTCTTCTTGTGGTGCTAAAAGTTTTTTAACCATTGTGGATGATTTTTCTCGAGCTGTTTGGGTTTATTTGTTGATTGATAAAAAAGAGGTTTACCATATGTTTATGTCTTTTATAGTCATGACTGAACGTCAATTTGCTAGCAAAATTTCCATGGTACGGAGTGACAACGGCACAGAATTTAATTGTTTAAAAAATTATTTCTGTGAACATGGTATTCTTTTTCAAACATCTTGTGTAGGGACTCCACAACAAAATGGGCGGGTCGAACGGAAACATCGCCACATTCTTAATGTGGCCCAGGCTTTACGTTTCCAAGGACATTTACCTATATCTTTTTGGGGAGAATGTATTCTCACTGCCGCCCATCTTATCAACTACACACCTTCCGCCGTACTTCACCAAAAAATACCGTTTGAAGTTTTATATGGTATTTTACCTGATTATACCACTCTTCGTGTCTTTGATTGCCTTTGTTTCGCTCATAACCAAAAAAGTCGGGTGGACAAATTTTCTAGCCGAAGTAGAAAATGTATATTTGTTGGGTATACAATTGGAAAAAAGGGGTGGCGTTTATTCGATCTTGAAACTCACGAGTATTTCACTTCTCGAGATGTTAAATTCTATGAAACCCACTTTCCCTTTTCTGAAATTCCAATTTCAATTCCCACCACACATGAATCTACTACTGCCCACCAGGAAATCCCATGTGAACTCTCTATTTCCCAAAATGACGTGGAGCCCTTAGCACAACAAACACCTCCCATTATTTCTTCCCAGGAAATTGCTCCGCACGTAACATCTGACTCTTCCATTATCACTACACAACAAACAAATATGGACCCCATTCAACAAATTGACCAGCCTACTCAATCCCTTCCTGATCCCACTTCACCATCGGCCAGCGAATCTGAACCCCTCCTTGGTCGGGGTTTACGTAACAAAATCCCCTCTGTCAAACTTCGTGACTATACCACTAACACAGTCATTATTTCTAGTCCATCTCCCGCTAAACCTACTCCGCAGCTTTCCTCAGGTACACCTTTTCCAATAGCACATTATATTAGTTGTAGCAAATTTTCTGACAGTCATCGAGCATTCCTAGCAGCTGTTACTGCCGGTCAGGAACCTCACAATATTCGTGAGGCATACACTCATGAGGGGTGGCGTGATGCTATGAATTCTGAAATTCAGGCTCTTGAAGCTAATCGAACTTGGACAATGGTTCGACTCCCACCCGGAAAACGTGCTTTAGGGTGTCGCTGGGTATATAAAATTAAATACAATTCTGATGGAACTATTGAGCGTCTCAAAGCTCGATTGGTAATCTTTGGTAACCGACAGGTGGCCGGGTTAGACTACAATGAAACTTTTGCACCTGTTGCTAAAATGGTCACCGTCCGTGCCTTCTTAGCAAGGGCTGCATCTAAAAATTGGGAATTGCATCAAATGGATGTACATAATGCCTTCTTACATGGCGATCTTCACGAGGAAGTGTACATGATGACACCGCCTGGTTTTCACCACGCAGACTCAACCCTTGTGTGCCGATTACATAAATCATTGTACGGCCTTAAGCAGGCCCCCAGATGTTGGTTTGCTAAACTTGTCACTGCTTTAAAGAGATATGGGTTTCTCCAATCATATGCTGATTACAAACTGTTTACTCGCACCCGCGATCAAGAACAGCTCAATGTGCTCATCTATGTTGATGATTTGCTCATTTCCGGTAATAGCTCAACGTCCGTTGCTCAGTTTAAAGAGTACTTATCCACGTGTTTCCACATGAAAGACTTATGCCCTCTCAAATATTTTTTGGGGATCGAAGTTGCTCAAAGCACGACCGGATTATTCTTAACTCAGCGGAAATACACACTTGATATTCTCACTGAAACAGGATTGTTGGGTGCTAAACCAGCCACTTCTCCCATCGAGCAAAATCACAAATTATCCCAAGCTTCTGGTTCTCTGCTTACGGATCCAGAGCCATACCGCCGCCTGTTAGGTCACCTCATTTATTTAGCAGTGACACGCCCTGACTTGGCTTACTCGGTACATATCTTATCCCAATTCATGCACCAGCCTCGACAAGATCATTGGGAAGCTGCATTACGAGTTGTCCGATATTTGAAAGGTTCTCCTGGTCAAGGCATTCTCCTACGGTCCGATAGTAACCTTCATTTACAGGGATGGTGTGACTCCGATTGGGCGGCCTGCCCACTTACGCGGCGCTCCTTGTCAGGATGGGTTGTTTTCCTCGGCCATTCTCCAATTTCATGGAATACCAAGAAACAACACACTGTTTCGCGCTCTTCCGCAGAGGCAGAGTATCGCTCCATGGCGGCGGCCACTTGTGAACTGAAATGGTTAAAAGCTCTGCTGCTAAGCTTAGGTGTAAACCATTCACGAGCTATTCCTCTTTTCTGCGACAGTCAATCTGCTATTCACCTGGCCAAAAATCCTGTTTTCCATGAACGCACTAAACATATCGAGGTCGATTGTCATTTCGTTCGTGATGCTATACAAGATGGTGTGATCTCACCCTCATATGTGCCTACCACTTATCAGCTGGCAGATATTTTTACTAAAGCTTTGGGGAAGACTCAATTTCATTTTCTTCTGCGCAAATTGGGCATTCTGGACCCCCATGCTCCAACTTGAGGGGGGTGTTACACATATTATTATTATTATTATTATTATTATTATTATTATTATTAGTACTCCTATTATTGTTTCATGTAGGGTACACTGATCATTGAGGTATGCCTCAATTATTTCCTCATAATAAATGGGCAACACTTCCTATTCTTTCCTGCTTTATATCGTATTTCAATAATATCAATAATATCAACAATCAGGCTCGAATATATCATACTCAAAAACCAATGAAGTGACTGCAGGAAACACACAATGTGAACTAACAGGGAAGCGAAAACTGAATCCACCAAGAAGGACTTGCGTAATTGTAGGGCAAGTACCTATACACTCTTGAAGATTATACTATCGTATGTTTCTCTAAATTTATGAATAGAAAGGTGAAGTTTCTCAATGCCATTTCTCGACAGAAAAAGACAACAACGATCTATATCAGGTGGTAGTGGCATAGGAATTCTTTCAGATATACAATGCTCCTCATACTCTAAATGCGCCAGTGTAAATTTCTTAACCGGTCCCGTCCGGAGCATGCACACCGGTTCATTGTTTCGACACAATCCACTACGGGTTCATCGTCATCGTCGGATCGTATAAAATGTGAGAAGTTCAAACCAAAGTCCAGCTGGCCGTGAGCAAACCAGACATCCTTCCAGTGAGTTGAAAGCAGAGCCATTCTGGCAGCTTCACGCATGCTCAACAGTTCCAGAATTGATTCCTTCAGCTCTGCTGGTAGTTGACATATTAAGCCCTCTCTTGCGCCTGATGTGGTTTTTCTTCGATAAACACAGGTCATTACACTGATAATCTGCATTAATTAGTTGGTTTTTAGTACATAATAATAATAATAATAATAATAATAATAATAATAATAATAATAATAATAATAATAATAACATGCACAGCCGGGCAGGCTATGAATCAGGATGAATACTTCTGGTAACAAATTGGACTACTTGTACTAGCAAATTGCACTGCAAATAAGGAATACTGATATAGAAACGACCGTTAGGTGATTATGCTGAAATGGTTTGCGATGATAATTTTTTTTAACAATTAGACGTAATTGTTGGGCCAGGAAATCCACGTCAATAAATTGGCCCACATCTCTTAGACTTAAGAGAGTCAAAGTCCAAGTGCACAAAAAGAGGAACAGAATGGATAAACATGGGTGGAAGAAAGATAATAAGTCTTGGAGCAAAAGAAGTGGAGCCAAAGTGATAAAGTCAAAGAGCTAATTCCCTAATCCTACGAAATAGGAGTTGGACATGTTGGGCGGTTAGACGGTGCATTAGAATGTGATGAATTTATTTGTATAAATAGGAATAATGTTCATGCACTAACACGAGGAATCTCACTCTTTACATAGCTATCATAATTAATACTGCGTATTGATCTTCATTTTGCTTTAGTTGTTGTATTTTAGATATAGAGTGTTGGAACTTTCTACCTCAATTATTATTAATAGATTGGTCTTGGACATTCAAGAGGGATATTTGGAACAAAGTTCTTGAATTTACATTCAATTGCTATCGATATATTTACATACTATTTTATTTCTTGCACGTAGCCCAATATAATTCTCTTATCTATTTGATTGTTTCAATTTACAAAAAATTGCCTAAACAATTTGGCGCCCACCGTGGGGCATCGTGCAAGAGGAGGATCATCAAGCATGGCCGGAGACAATCCTTTGCTGATTGAGTTCCATGCGCAGCTAGAAGCGGCAAAAGAAGAAATTCGGCGAGAGGTGGCGGAACGAATGACCCACCTTCAACGGGAGAATGACGTTCTTCGTTCACATGTGCAATCAGTGGTGTCGATAGCTTCAAACTCAATGATCAATCGGAGGAGCGATGTCGGGACTGCTGTCGTGAGACTTGATCTTGGTTTCACCCCGGCGGCGACGGATCCACCTGCAATGACGATGGATCACGTCTCCCTCACACTAGGCCTGTCACCATCCGGAGAACCCCAACCCACTGTCATTTCTCAGGTTACACCCTATACACCTCTCATCCCTGAGACAACTCCCGCTCCCAGCATACCAACTTGTTTCTTTCCGGAGTCCCTTCGTCCCGGATCAAGAACGACCGACTTACACTCAACCACTCAAAGCATACAGATGGTTTCCGCCATGTCCGCCCCGACGGAGCCCTCGGTCCCTCACTACATAAGCAGAAATCATGGAGAGCCCGGTCCATCCAGTTTCGTGCAGAACCGCAGACGAAATATTTTTGACGACCTGCTACCTGAGGTTCAGACACAACGACCGCGTAGACCAGTCACTTTGACGGATCAGAATTGTGGGGGGAGACGTCCAGAAATCATATTCATTCCGTCACCAACCCGTCCCGGAGCGACTCAGATGGCAGGACCAACGGTTCCAACAGGAGGTCTACTTCAACCAGGTATGGCGGACACAATGTCTATGATCATGGACCAGCTACGACAAATGCAGGAGAGAATTAATGCAATTCCTGGAGTTCCCCCTCCACTTGACATAGCGTCTCAAACGTGTTATGAAGACTCACCTTTTGACGGTTCGATCATTCGTGTCGAATTGCCAAATAAATTTGACATACCAACCATGGATCCATTTGATGGAACCACGGATCCGGGAGAACATGTCGCACGATATAAGCAAGTGATGTCGACAGTCTCTGTTAGAACTGAATGGAAGAGGCATGTATGTGTCGTGGATTCGGCATGACATTGACCGGTCCAGCTTTGACATGGTTCATCAATCTTCCGAATGGGAGCGTCGGTTCGTTTGCCGAACTCGTCAATCTTTTCAATCGACAGTTCGCGAGTAGTAAGGTATTGGAAAGACAGACCAGCGACTTGTATCAAGTCACTCAGAGGCATGGTGAATCCCTTAGAGATTATTTGCACAGATTCAACAAAAGGAAGGTGTCGATCCCAAAATGTGACGTCTCTACCGTCATTGAAGCATTCAGAAGAGGTTTGTATGGAGATTCAGAGTTGTATCGCGAACTGACGAAATACCCTTGTCGATCCTTCGAAGATGTTCAAGCAAAGTGTGACACCCCGAAATTTTCCACCCAAAATAATACTTTGAAATAGAGATGACCTTTAATTTAATGATTAAAACTTCAAAAGTTGCAGCGGAAATTAATAAAAACTAAGTAAAAGGGGCATGTCACCGCCACATCCAATCCGTGAATGATTGGATGCTAAGGCTATCTACCAAAACACGAGTTTAACAAAATCAAGATGTTCGAATCATAAGAAAATATTAAAGTTTATTTCTAGTGAACTACATAATTGTCTTCTAATTCGCGCTCTCAAACATTGCAGCATCAAAATCAACATGATCATCTCCTGTTAAATACGAGCACAAGAAAAATAAAAGAAAACAAACATTAGCAATAATGCTAAGTAAGTTTCACCTAACCTTTTAAAATAATAATAAATACTATATATAAATTCGTACAACCTCATAAAATATTTTTCAAAACACTTTATAAATCATACATCATAAGTAAATGATATCTATATAAAATCCCAATCACATAATTAACTCGTAAACCATAATAATTCCAAAATACATGAAACACCAAAATTCTCCTCTTTTGAATTTCTCCCAAAATCACTTTGTACCTAACTTTCTAGTAATTTAGAAGGGCGGTGCTCAACACTTTGGTTGAGCCCGGTGGTCCGTTGTTAGGTATGGCCACCCCGGGACTATCGCCGGTACCACAACTGCTCCTTGGAAACGGAAACAACTACTTTAAGTGTGCACACCCCCTAAAGGTATTCCAAGCCCTCCGGGTTAGTAAGTCGATCCGGGTAGCCGGGATGTTTTCTACCAACTACCCCACCTCAAAAAGTGAATGATTAGGAGCTACTACTACCATTACTACTCAAAAAGCCGGGATGTTTTCTACCGACCGACAATTCACCTCAAACCAACACAAACCAAAAATTGAGTAGTAGTAGACCTAACCATCCTCCACATTTTAAGGGACGTGGAAAACCAACACCACAGATTTCTCTCGTGATGCTCACCCTTTATGAAAATATTTATTTCTCTTTGTTTTCTCAAAATCAATCGAAGTTTATACTTCAAAAATTTCCTTTTTCATTAAACTCCCACAAAAATAACAAATTACGTACTATTACAAAATCTCCCAAAATAACTCATATCAACAAAACAATATATCAACTAATATCTCAAATACAATCCTTTTATATAATAATATTCAAATTCAGCACACATAAATTCAATTCTCAAATATGCACACAAAAATATTTAAAAGAAATCACGAAGAAAAAGAACTAATTTCGGTTGACGTGAAACTTACCTTAAATCCCGATGAATCATAACCGAAGCTTCTACATTGACTTTCTTGAGAGTCACTTTCTAGAATATTAAAATTCTAGAATTAATAATTTATTTATAAATTGAGATTAGTTAGCCCGCCTTGATTTAACTCATTTATATTTATCTAATTATACCCGTCTAATCTTTTCTCAAATTCACCTATCTCATTATTATTTATATGATTTAATCAAATCTATAAATTCTTAATTGATTATCCTGCCCAATTAGATTATATCTATTTGGTTTACTCCGTCTGACTTGATCTGCCGGTTTGTCTAAAATCACTTTTAATCGGCTTAATATAAAGGTAACAATTTCAATAAAAGTGAACATTAGCGATTTTGTTAACTCAATAATAACTTTTATCAAAATCCTCACATGTCAATTGATTATTTAATCTTTTCTCAATATTTTTAAAAATTCTAATTGGATACTGGATACTGGAGCATCTGACCATATGGCTTATGATGCTTCCTTATACATTACTCCAACAAAAACTATTTCAATTAATATTCAATTGCCTACTGGTAATTTCATTTCTGCCACTAAAATTGGTGACATTAAATTGAATTCTTAGCTTACACTACATAATGTCTTATATGTTCCTAATTTCACTTATAATCTTATATCTATCTCCAGCTTTACTTCTCATGATAATATATCTGTTTACTTCACTTCTAAACATGCTATATTGCAGGACCACCTTACTCACAAAATGATTGGCTCTCTTGATTTACAAAATCGCTTATATCACTATCATTTTCATTCATCCATTACACATATTCCTACTGTGCATTCTGCAAATAGTCAACATTCTGAACATGATGCTTCTTCAACTACTCTTTGGCATTTTAGATTAGGGCATTTACCTATTAATAAACTTTCTTTCTTGTCTGATTGTAATATCTCAAATAATGAAAAACACTATTTTTCTTGTGATATCTGTCATTTTGCTAAACAAAAAAGATTTCCTTTTCCTATTAGTACTTCTCATGCTTCTAATGTCTTTGATTTAATTCATATGGATGTTTGGGGTCCTTATAAAGTTACTTCTTATACATGTTTTAGAAATTTCCTAACTGTTTTTGATGATTACACTAGATGCACTTGGGTATTCTTACTTACAACAAAATCTGAAGTTAAATTGCATATGCTAATTTTTTATAAATTCATTGAAACTCAATTTCAAAAGAAAATTAAAATCATTAGAACTGAGAATGGCACTGAATTTTTATTTCCTGAATTTTATACTTCAAATGGTATTCTTCATCAATTATCTTGTGTTGAAACTCCTCAATAAAATGGTAGGGTTGAAAGAAAACATCAACATATTTTACAAATTGCTAGAGCTCTCTTATTTCAATCCTGTTTACCTATATCTTTTTGGTCTGATGGTATTCTTACTGCTGTTCACATTATTAACACATCACCTACTTCAGTTCTTCAAAATAAATATCCTTATGAACTGTTATATAATCATCCTCGTGACTATACTCATTTAAAGATCTTTGGTTGCTTGGCTTTTGCTTCTACTATTTGTTCTAACAGAACAAAATTTGATTCTAGAGCACATAAATGTGTTTTCATTGGTTATTCTTTAGTATCTAAAGGATACAAATTATATGATTTAAACACTCATAAAACTTTCATTTCTAGGAATGTAAAGTTTTATGAGATGATTTTTCCTTACAAAACCCATGATTATGAAAATAAGATTGATTCTGATCTCATATATCCTCCAAATAATAATTGGGTTAATTATCAAAATAGGACTAAAAGTCACCCACTTTGCACAAATAGGACCAAAAACTAAATTATGTTTTCATAGGACTAATTATGTGTGTCTTGGACAAATATACCCTTCTAGCTATTGAAATGTTTTAATTCATAATAAAATAATAAATAATAATAATTCGTAAAAACTACTAAAAAACTAATAAAAATATTTCGATAATAATTAATTAATTTATTTTTTTTCAAAAAATAAAAAAATTAAAAAAAATTAAAAAAAATAAAAACTCAAAAAAATAAAATAAAATTCACCGCCACCTCTGCCGCCTCTGCACCACCACCTCCAGTCACCGGGGAAAAAATGCCAAGTTCATTACGAATGTCATATTTATGGCAGAAAACAATGAAAATGTTGGCATTCTCCAAGAGAAATATGCCATGTTTTTGGCATTTTCAGAAAAAATGGCAGTTTTTAGGAAAAATGACATTTTTTTCACCGCCCGGAGATGGTGGTGCAGGGAGGTAGTACAGGCGGTGGGAAAGGCATCCATATTTTTTTTAATTTTTTTAATGGAGTTTTACTATTTTTTATTAATTTTTTAGAAAAAAAAAATTAAAAAAATATTTTTTTTATTTTTTATGTTATAAATATTTTATAAATTTTTTAATTATTTTTCAACGAACTTTTGAATTTTTTTCGAATTTATTATGAATTAAACATTTAATTAACTCATATTTAAAGGAAGGGTATAAATGGAAGGAAAAAATAGGTATGTTTGCAATAGGAGTAATTTGGTCCTATTTTGAAAAGAAAAACATAGTAAGTCTTATTTTGAGTTTTTGCCATAGTTTTAGTCCTATTTGGAGTAATTTCTAATAATAATTCTATTACTGAATACCTAAATACTCTTTATCATATACTTATTCTCAAAATTACCTGGACAATGAAATCAATGATGAAATACATCTTTTTCACTCTAGTAATACAAATTCTGTCACTAATGATTCTTCCAATACCATGCAGACAGATAATGATTAGATTGATCACAATGCTACTGAAAACAGTTCTCCAAGGAAATCTACCAGAGTAAGATATGTTCCTATTCATTTAAAAGACTGAATATGATTTACCTACTTCTATCATTCCTAGTGTTTCTGAACCTTCATGTAATTTTGTTAGATATCCTATGCAAAATTATATTTCTTACAACAAATTAAGCTCTTCTCATCACTGTTTTACTGCATCTCTTTCAAAATTTGTTGAACCCAAAACTTATAAACAAGCTATTAAATCTTCTGACTCGAAAAATGCTATGAATACTGAAATTAAAGCTCTTGAAGATAATAACACTTGGATTCTTGTTGACCATCCTAAAGATCAACACATTATTGGTTGTAAATGGGTTTTTAAAACTAAACTTAAATCTGATGTTCTCTTGATAGGTATAAAGCCAGATTAGTGGCTAAGGGTTATACTCAAGAAGAGGGCCTTGATTATTTTGATACTTTCTCTCCAATTGTTAAATTAACTACTGTCAGAATCCTTTTAGTTGTTGCTAGTTCAAAAATTTGGTATTTACATCAATTAGATGTAAATAATGCTTTTTTACATGGAGATTTAAATGAAAACATTTATATGCAACCCCCTCCTGGTTACTTAGCTGATAATGATCATAGAGTTTGTAAACTTATTAAAAGTTTATATGGTTTAAAACAAGCTTCCAGACAATGGTATTTTAAACTCTATAAATCTTTGAAATCTTTTGGTTATAAACAGTCTCAAGCTGATTTTTCCCTTTTCACTAAAGCTACTAATAATTCATTTGTTGTGATCTTGCTTTATGTTGATGATCTTATTCTTGCAGGTAATGATATGAATGAAATTAAATGTGTCAAATCCTATTTACATCACAAATTTACCATTAAAGATCTTGGTAAGCTAAAATACATATTAGGAATAGAAGTTGCTAGATCTGAAACTGGACTGGTTTTAAATCAAAGAAAATACATTCTTGATATTCTTTCTGACTTTGGATATCTTACTTCTAAACCTTTTTCTACTCCTATGGATTCTAAGCTAAAACATTCAAAGAATGATGGTACTCTTTTAACTATTCCTAAAACTTATAAAACCTTAATAGACAGATTACTTTATCTTACTGTCACAACACCTTACATTGCTTACTTTGTACTAACTCTTAGCCAGTTTCTTTCTTGTCTTACAAATATCCATATGACTGCTGCACATCGGGTGTTAAGATATCTCAAAATCTCTCCAGGAAAAGGTCTGTTCTATCCCTCTAAATCTACCTTTCATATTCTGGCTTACACTGATTCTGATTGGGGTCCATGTATTGATACTAGAAGAAGTATATCTTGTTATAGTTTTTATTTAGGTGAATCACTGATTTCTTGGAAATCCAAGAAACAGTCTATTGTTAGTAGATCTTCTACTGTAGCAGAATATAGGGCTGCTTCAAATGCAGTTTGTGAAACTCAATTGCGTACTTACATTTTTCAGGATTTACAAATTCTCATTTCTTTACCTATTACTCTTTATACAGATAATAAATCTAGAATAAATGGCATGAATACTATCTCGGGAGTTTTAATAGACCTATATATGACTGCTCTTAAAACAAGACAAAAAGGTGACTAAATCAGACTTAAAGTACTAAAACACCCTCATTATAAATATCAAATCCTAACCCTAATTTCTTCCCATTCTTCATAATCTGCGTATTAGCTTCTCCAATTGCCGCAGCCACCCACCTATGAAGCAGCTTCCTCCAATTGCTGCTGCCACCGCCCTCTGCATCAACACCTACCACGGGGAACCTGCAACCACCACAGGAGTATGCCGCAAAGTCTCTCTTTCTTCTTCTTCTTCTTCTTCCCAATTTCTTCTCTTCGTTTCGCCATCCTTAGACGTCTTCTCTTTGTTTCTCTTCAAATTTGGCGAGGGCGAAATTGTGTGGAAAACATTAATATCTCATATATGATTTTTGTATTTCCATAATTCTGTTTCAATTCCTCCACATTATGAGAAACACTTTTTGTCTGTTTTGTATTTCAATTTCAAAGTATTTTTAATGGATTTAGCCTGTGAAGAAATCTATATTGGAATCCACAATCTGTTGGTATAGAACGGCCGAGAGAATTTGTTGTCAGCCTAAGGCTTCTTCCGTTCATCAATTTTTGCTTTGTAGCGTTGAGATTTTAGCCCAGATTCTGTAGGTACAACCTGCTTATGAACAAACTATCAAATGGCCCTGTGATGGAGGGTGGATGGTGATAAGGGTACGTGGGGAGTGTAGGGTTGGGGCGGTAGAGGCAAAAGGCTAGTCACTCGTAATTAGTGACTGAAGTTGCAGGAGAGTCACTATTAATTGGTGGCATCATGGGGCGGTTGCTAAGGTTTGTGAATTCATTAGTGATTAAGGTTGTGATGATTGGCGATCTCTTGGTACCATAGAAATGGTCACTAACCCAATTTGTAATGAATTTTTGCAGTTAAGAGGACTCCAGTGACAACGAATTTCGAGGTTGTTACCATCAGTCACTAGAAGAGGGTCACTATTGATAGAATGTTACATAAGCTAGTAACTATTGATGCCCGGAGTCACTATTAGAATGGGCAGTTATGTAGTCACTGTGATCTTTAAGTTAGTGATTACATGGTCACTAATGGCGGCGCGGTGCTGGCGGAGGCAGCAATGCTGGAGGCGGTGGCGATGACGGTGCTGGTGGTCACTGTGGTGACCGGGTTGCATTAGTTGATTATTACCAAGTATAAAAGTGGACTATCACGATAATGAATGGAATATTAAATAAGGATATAAATGATATGATAAGTCACATTTTTGGAAAACTTAAAAACAAGACACATTTTTGTTTTTTGTATTTGTTTTAGTAATATTTATAAAATAAGGCCATAAATCTACATACTATCTTGCACATAATCCTATTCAACATCAAAGAACTAAACACATTGAATTAGATTGTCATTTAATAAGAGAAAAAATTAATTCAGGTCTTATTAATCTTACAGTGTTGTTGCAAATGCGGTTTGGTTCGGTCGGTTTACCGAATTGTGCACACCCCTATCTTACACACATTCCTAATAATTGTCAACTTGCAGATATATACACAAAACCACTTGGGAATCTACTCTTCAGTCAGTTTACAAACAAGATGAACCTGCTGAACATCCATGCTCATAGTGTTGTTGCAAATGCGGTTTTATAGTTTTATATTAGCCCATCTTTTATTCCTCATTAGAATAGACTTTAGCCATTTAGCATATAAACTGTATTTTTAACCCTATTATGTACAAATTCATTCAATCATCTTATTCATCCTTCTGCATTCAAATCTTTCTTTTGCTCTGTAAATTCACACTTACCATAAAATCGTGTCAATTTAAGAAGACACTAAATCATGTGACTGGTATAATAATCTATTTAGAGTACATTTCATGTCCACCTTCGCCGTTTGAGGAAGTTCTCAATGATATTTCTTGGTGAAATTTTTTGTGTATGTTCTTCGTCAAGTCTAATTCATCCATACCAAAAAACTATCTAATGTACCAAATGGTACTCCAAATATGAGTGTACTTGGTAAAGTTGATGCCGAGCTTGCAAAAAACATTTCGAACTTCCGATCCAGCAAAACAAGTTGATTACACATAGCCAAACCCCTGGGATTACATACAACAAATGAATGGAAAAACCTTGACGGCAGGCTGACTGGCCTACTCATACATGGAATCCATGATGACAACTCGAGCTTGTGGGGATGAACGGGGGCAGCACCTGATTTCCTCTAGGATTTGCAAATCCTTAAAGTGAGATGATTTCGTAATAACAAGTTCCTCAAGGGCGGGAGACTTCAAAAGGATTGTTTTGACAAACTGCATTTCAAGTCTGAATCCACAAAAGATTTCAATCTTCACTGTTTTAAGCATTTCCAGTTCCTTCTTAATAACACAGCTGTAGGGATTCGCCAAATGTCTGGAAACATCTTCATCGTTGCATCTCTGTCTGCCCTACGTACATCACACAGAAAAGAGAAATCAAAATAGCATATGCTTGACTTGTCATAATTTGGAGAGAATAATGAACCCAAAGTCATAATGGCCAAATCAATCGGTAAATAATGGGTCTTACATAATCCCATGTCTCAATTCCAAGTTCACATAGCTTTGGGCATTTTTGAATCAATTCAATAACAAAAGTGAAGTGCTCCGCACCAAAAAAACTGGCATTATGAATCACAACGACTCTCAGATTTGTTGCATTTGGGAACGTCTGTGCAGCTACTGCATCAGGTGAAACCTTTAAAGAAAACAGAACAAAAATTAACCTTCGAATATCTCAAACAAGTCAGAGTGAAGAAACAAAAGAAATGAAACTAAATACTCCGTATTTCATCATCACATCAGCATAACAAAGTGTAGAAGTAAAAGATTTATTCTTACCGACAACAAATCTACATGCAAATGAAGAGTACTGATTACAGCAAAATGGAGCACAAACCATCTGAAATCAGTCACCCTTCGAAAATTACGGTCAGTAGTCAAGCACTTGAGTTTTGGCGCGCTAATCACAAAATTTTGAATCTGAGGACAATTGTCAAAAGAGAGATTCTCGAGATTTGGAACACTATAGACTGTTCCAGTGAGATCAGGCTGAAATAAAACATAGTCAAAAGCCAATGAAGTGACGCCAGGAAACACACTTTGTGAATTAACAGGGAAGCCAAAATCCAACGCACCAAGTGCGAGTCGCTTAATTGTTGGGCAAGTGACTATACAATCATGAAGAGTATATGTTTCTTTGAGAATATCACAATAGAGATGTGAAGTTCCTCGATGCCATTTCTCGACAGAAACAGACACCAACGATCTATATCCGCTGAGAGTGGTGAGAGAATTTTTCTATGGATATTATAATGCTCAAAGTGTGAAATCACCAGTGTAAATTTCTTAACGGGTCCTGTCCGGAGCATGAGACATCGGTTTATTATTTCGGTGCAATCTATGGGTTCATCTTCACCGTGATATTGTGGAAAATGAGAAGAAGTCCAAATCAAAAACCAGCTGGCCGTGAGCATACCAGGCATCCTTCCAGCAAGTTGAAAGCACAGCCATTCTGGCGGTTTCACGTATGTTCAGCAACCCTAGAATTGATTCCTTCAGCTCTGCCGGGAGTTGACTTATGAAATCATTTCTTGCGCCTGATGTGGTTTTTCTTCGACAAACACTGGCCATTACGCTGATAAAGAAAAATGTGCTACGCATTTGTTATTGAGCTTAATGCTAAAGAACGTAGATGGATATATGGATCAATGGATGTATATGATGCATTTGCTAATCACAATAATCTGCATAAGTTAGTATTTAGTAATTTAGTATACATGCACGCCAGGCAGGCTTAAATTACATCACATGCTCTGCATAAACTTAACCTGAAGTCTGAAGATTGTGTATTATGTTAACAAATAGGACCACTTATATTAGCAAATGGGACTACTTATATTTTTCATTAGAATGAGATAAGTCATAAGTACATATATGGGATAGCAATACAAGGATTGTTAGGTGATAGGCAAATCTTAAGGATAATATTGAAATGAGGATTGAGCTGAAAATTGTTCATGAAGAATTGATGATATGTGTTTTTTGAAGCATTAGGCAGTACACAGTGGAAATTTCTACATTTCAATCTGAACTTCATCTTTCACAAGCAAATACCCAGAAACTGTAAGAGATTCTGAATCTTCTTAGAGGTAAGTTTTGAAATGAGATGTTAAAATACCATCAAGCTAATCCGCCAAAATGGTTTCTTGAGTGAACTACATGCGAACAATTGAACAAAGGACCGCCAGGAATCATAAAATTTGACAACAGTTTACCGCTAAGCGTGATTCATGAACAAAGAACAATAAAATTCACAATTCAGTTCATTAACTGATTTAGATCTCTATTATCTAGAAGTTTATTTATTGCATATCAGGCAGATTGAAAATAAAAATAAAGTATGCCTTTTAGAAGGCAAGCCTGATAGGGATGTGGTAAAATTGAAAAAGATAATCGAAGCAAACCTCGATGTAGCCGGAAATAGAGGACGTCGTCTTCTGTTGAAGGCTTTGTGCAAAGTGGAACCTTTGAGGAAGTTCTAGTTCTAGTCTTAAAAAACTCGCACGGGTAGCTCAGTTGATGGTGGGAAAAATTGGACGTAGACCAAGGTTCGAATCCCACGGCGGCTAAAAGGGAGTTTTAAGAATCTGAAATAAGGTTGGCCCTATGATGCGCACGGGTAAAGACCTACTTCCGCTTTGCCGACTGAGTAACTGTGATTTACTCCCCACCATCCTGTCTAGTCGGGGTGAGGGGCCCTTGGTTGGGGATTCAACCTTTTGGACGTAGTTCTAGTCTTAAACCGATGGAATTAGTCTGGCCATCACTTTATCCGTTTACAAAGAACAGTTGCGTCAAATCAATGGTACCTTTTTGCGAGGACTCAAATCAAGGGTACTGTTTAAAAACAAAAGACCGATTTGAGAAGGTACTTTTATCTCGAGATTCACGTTATGCCTCTTAGACAACGGATCCGCATAATCCCAGTCGCCAATCCTTATACTCCCTCCGTTCCTAAAAATTCTTCCCGGTTTGACTTGGCACGCTTATTAAGAAAGTGGAATAAAGTGGAAATGAATGGTTGTGGTTGTGTAAGAAAAAGGTAAAATGAATGTAAGCCACACAAATTGTCCAAAATGGGAAAGTGAGAAGTATTTTTGGGAACAGCCCAAAAAGGAAAGTGAGAAGTATTTTTGGGAACGGAGGGAGTATACAATAAGTGGGTATGATGTAAATTGTAATATAATCCCAATAAGATAGATAGAGAGTGAGGCTCTGTCTCCGATACTTGCAGAGGCCCTATGTATTTTTAGCATAGTAACCCCTCATCACAGTTGCCGTGATTCGAACCCGAGAATTAACCCTTGACCCTTGTGGCACTACCTTACTACCAGTTGAGCTACGTCCACCGGTAAAAAAGCATAATCCTCTCATCCCTCTTCCATATTGTTTCTCTTTAAAAATTTAATTCCCTTTATTACGTATTCTCTCCGTCCCTTATAACTTTGTCAACTTTCCTTTTTTGGATATCCCATTAACTTTGACATTTTCCCTTTTAAGTAAAAAATTTGTGGTTTCAGTTAATTCTCTCTCCTCTGCACAAACATCAACCACACAATTTTTATTTTATTAATTCGTGTGCTGGTCAAACTTGGCAAAGTTATTAGGGACGGAGACAGTATTATATTTTTCTCCATAAAAAATCTTTAGGTACACCCTCAGTTAGGGGCACACCTAACGTTTTAAATGGCATAAGGCGTGCCGAGGCGGTACGACCAAGTCCAGAGCCTTTGAAGCCTAGGCGAGTTTAGACGAGGCCTAGACATGAAAAGGCGTTTTACATCCTCTGGTCGTTAATTAACTTTATATTTTCCTTTTTGAGTCGTCCCATATTAAATTTACACTTCCTTATTTGTCTTGTTTGGCAAACAAATCTACATCAAACAGTGCATAACATTGTCAAACAGTGTAAAACAGCGTACTCTACAGGAAAGTCAAATTTATTTCCTTAATATGTGTGAAGTCAAAGTGTAAAATTTAATAAGGACCGGAAGGAGTAATATTTAACTCATTTTTTAAATTTTTCTAGAGCTATTACTTGAGAAATAATGACATGCTTAAAAATGGTGGTCAAATATGACTCCTTACCTGTAATGGTCATAGTACCAATTTTTAATTACTCCATTTGTCTCACTAGACGTTGTCAACTTTCCTTTTTTGTTGATTCAAAAAAATTATCACTTTCCTTTTATAGTGATGAATTTGTGGTTCTGTTCATTCTTTCATTAGAAATTACTCAAAATAGGACTAAAACTATGTCAAAATCTCAAAATAGGACTTACTATGTTTTTCTTTTCAAAATAGGACCATATTAGTCATGTTTGAAATATACCTATTTTTTCATTCCATTCTTACCCTTTCTTTAAATATGAGTTAATTAAATGTTTAATTGATAATAAATTCGAAAAAAAATCAAAAATTCGCAGAAAAATAATTAAAAAAATTATAAAATATTTATAAAATAAAAAAATAAAAAAATATGTTTTTGAATTTTTTTTATCTTTTTAAAAAATTAATAAAAAATAGTAAAACTCCATAAAAAAATTAAAGAAATATGGATGCCTTTCCCACCGCCTGTACTACCTCCCTGCACCACCGAGGTGGTGAAATAAATGCCATTTTTCCTAAAAACTGCCATTTTTTCTGAAAATGCCAAAAACATGGCATATTTCTCTTTGAGAATGCCAACATTTTCATTGTTTTCTGCCATAAATATGGCATTCGTAATGAACTTGGCATTTTCCCCCCGGACCCCTGGTGACCGGAGGTGGTGGTGCAGAGGCAGCAGAGGCGGCGGTGAATTTTATTTTATTTTTTTTAGTTTTTTATTTTTTTTAATTTTTTTTTATTTTTTTATTTTTTGAAAAAAAAGTAAATAAATTTTTATTATTGAAATATTTTTATTACTTTTTTAGTATTTTTTACGAATTTTTATTATTTTTTTATTATTTTATTATGAATTAAAACATTTCAATAGCTATAAGGGTATGTTTGTCTAAGATACACATAATTAGTCTTATGAAAACATAGTTTATATTTTGGTCCTATTTATTTACACTATAAGGGTATGTTTGTCCAAGATACACGTAATTTACCCTTCTTTCATCCTCTCCACAAACTTCAATTAAACAGTTTCTATTATTATATTTCACATCCAACATCAACTTGATAAAGTTGAGCGGGAAAAAGTTAGTACTACTTTAATGTTTAATTTCTATACTTAGGTAATCATTGTAGTATACTCATAGTCTCATAGTAACTTTTGTCATATTTTATCAATAAATTTTATTGTAATAATATTTTATGAAAAATCTTCTTAAAGTAGTTAATTAATATGTAAATCTAATATTAGATAAAATAACACATAAAAAATGTAACTCATATTATGGAAAATATAACTCACGTCGATGGAAAATCTAACTTAAGTGCATGCAAAATGTAACTTGTTGAGACAAGTCTAAATGTAACTCGCGCGTATAAAGATGTAATTCACTCATAAAAAGATGTAACTCACGTACAAGAAAATGTAACTTCATATATTAGCAAATGTAACTCTAGAAATTGTCAATAACATAACTCACATATGTAAAAATATAAATCACATATGAAATTGTAATCTCATACTTTATCAAATGTAAACCAAAATTACCAAATTTAATGTCTAAAAACACTAAAAATTATAAGAGAGATAATAAATACATTATAGGAAAAAGTGTGAATATGAAAAAATATATTACAAATAAGTGTATAAGTATAAAAAATATTTATATTGAAGAAAAAATAATTTATTTTTGGTTATATATAAAATGGAAAAGTGTATCAACAAGGACTAAGAGAGAAAGAAAAAGTTATTAATTAATTTGAAAGGATGAAAATTTGATCACAAAATTGTAATAAATCCAGTGTTCTTACATTTAAAAAAAATAGTGGAGACATGATAGCATTTGATGATGAAAAAATTAAAAGTAAAAAACAAAAAAGCAAAAAGAAGAACGTAAGTGGGCTATGTGTGAGTGGATAGAGCATGCCACCATCCAACAATTTGCCCTGTACGCTCCGTTTGTTATAAAAAATGGTACTGTATTTCGGATCAGTATACCATGCGCATGGTACACCGATCCCATGGTATAATTTGTCGGAGAATAACAATTTGGATGATTTGGCAATCCAATATAATCGTGACTTCGAATATAAGCCACTACTAGAAAGTGTTGAATTAGAGAGGAAATTGGGAGGGAAAGATATCCCTATGTATTTTAGATAGGATGTTTGCTAGGAATTAAGCATTTTCCTTATTTAGTTGGACTAGAAAGGAACTTTAACTATTTAGAAAAGAAATTTGGTTCCTCTATTTAATAATTTTAAAAAATATCATAATAATTTCTATAGCTAGGATTGGAGTTCCTCTCTAAGATCTACACCACTAGATCTAAAATAGAAAAGGGTTTGAAAGGAGTTAAGTTCCTCTCTGTTTTTTAAAATCAAAAATAGGTCCGCTGCAATATGCATTTAATATTACTCTGTATAATAACATACGTAATACGAGTACTCTGTAATAAATCCGTGAGAACTGCATTGAATCTTGTAGGCAGTGTTTTAATTTTCTCAACCACATATTAATTCATTTTACCAACTTATGCAACTACATTCGTCCGTTTTTTCCTCCAGCGGCACTTCTTTCGCACTTTATAATCTCTTTCCTCCATTCATTTTTTTTGTTTCATCTCAACACAGTTTTCTACTGAGTATCATTCTTATCCGGAGTATTTACAATGCAGAGCAAATTTCTTTCTTTAATTTGTACTTGTATTCAGTTACATTGTTGGAGGATAAGGTATGTCTTCAATTTCATTACTTCAAAGTTCGTTTTTTATAAGAACAATTTTTCTTAATGGCAGCTTTATTAAATTATTGATACTTTATACTTCGTACGTCGTATATTTATTCATACAATACTTTGTACATTTAAAATAATACTCCCTCTGTCCCGAAATTATCTTCATTCTTTCTTTTTCGGTCCGTTCCAAATTTATCTCCTCTTTCCCTTTTTGGTAAAGAATATGTGGTTCACAACCATTCTTACACATTTCTCTCTCCTCTGCACAACTCTCCACCACACAAATCCCACTATCTTAATCCCCGTGCCCAGTCAAAACCGAAATTAATTATGGGACGGAGGGAGTAATATTTTTGTTGGTAAATAAAAAATTTTAGCAGCAGTACGTGTCATCAGTAATAATATTAGTATTAAGATGTTTTACTTAGATTTATTTTTGTCACAGACGGAATTAAACCATACTCAAATAGACCAAATCACACCAGAGTACCAGACCATACTTCTGCAATTATAAAATACACAAGGATTAGACATACCGTAGACCAGACCAGTTCAGAGTAGACGAGACTAAATCATACTAGACCATACCATAATAGACAAGATCAACTCAAACTAGAAAATTTTAGTCCAATTAAAAACAATCTTAGTATTATGAGTAAAGTATGTATATATGTATTTTGACAAAGAAGTTAATATCATTTCATTTTATGGAGACAATTTTTATTGTGTAATTAATATTTGGACTATAATAATAGTATCAAGATTGAACAATAAAGATTCTGCCCCTAATTTCAGGATAACAATGGATTTTAGAAATGAACGTCATTGGATGTATAATCGGGTGAATCCGGGTCGGAAAGGGTTAACGGATGAATTTAAAGTTGGAGTGGATAATTTTGTGGATTTCCCATGTGAACAACCAACATTTGTTGAGAATAGTGTTATTATTAAATGTCCTTGTACAAAATGTAGAAATCGCCTTTATAAAAATCCAGGAGATGTAAAACTTCACCTTTACAAATGGGGTTTTGAAGCAAACTATTGGTGTTATAAAAATCCAGGAGATGTAAAACTTCACCTTTACAAAATCGCTATTAGTGTCACGCCTCAGACCGTGTCTGTGCCACGTAGACAACCGTCGTACAACCCAATAAGAATAACCGCAGTTCATCCTTACTAAATTGCACAAGACATCTGATAGATACATATGCCAAAACCGATTAGTAAACATACATAACAACATCAACATACAATTAAACACATAGCGAAATATAAGTGTTTAATAAGAACCCACACGAGGGTAAAACAAGAGCTCGCAGGCTCCATTAATTTATAAGTCAAAAAAAGTTCCATGAGCATTATTTAATTATTTAGAAATAGAACCAGAGGAAGCACGAACCACGGCTTCTCTCCATCGATCTCCCGAACAACGCGTGACGGAAGTAAACTGTAGCTTCAACCTGAAAGGGTGGTTCCCTCGAGGGATCAGTACTACAACAAAGTACTGGTGAGGGCAAACTGTATGTAATATAACTAACGTTTCTCACATGGGATCCTCAACATAGGGTGATAGTATATGTATAGGTATAACTCTTGGCTACCCTTTTTCAAAACATATCGTATACATATATACATATGAGTAAAATATCCGGCTCGTGGGCCCATTTGTCTTTCAGATCATTTAGGCGTAACAGCCTCATTAAATTCACCTTTCCCATGTTCTACCCTCGAGTGAAGTCACCCGCAGGCTAACTCACCCGATAACAAAGATAATTATTTTGGGGGGCCTTCGGGCTCCCATATCACAGACATGGTTAAAATTAAATTCCTAGACTAAGGAAAATACCCTATCGGGAACTCATTCCCGATCACGCATGTTTAATCATCTAAAATCATTACTTGAGGTTCACCTACCTCGGGGACTATTTGTACTTACAATCATAGTTTACATTCCCGGGTCTAACCCCGCCTTGAGGAGTACGCATACACCCTCATCCTATGTGTAATTTGCTGGAGGTTAACACATCTCAAGGACTACACGGGCCCTTGTTACCGATATGCAATTTGATGGAGGTTAACACACCTCAAGGACTGCACTTGCCCTTGTTACCTATGTGTAATTTGCTGGAGGTTAACACACCTCAAGGACTACACGGGCCCTTGTTACCTATATGCAATTTGATGGAGGTTAACACACCTCAAGGACTGCATTTGCCCTTGTTACCTATGTGTAATTTGCTGGAGGTTAACACACCTCAAGGACTACACGGGCCCTTGTTACGTATATGCACTTTGATGGAGGTTAACACACCTCAAGGACTGCATTTGCCCTTGTTACCTATGTGTAATTTGCTGGAGGTTAACACACCTCAAGGACTACACGGGCCCTTGTTAACATTTGAGTATAAAGGACTCATCCCGGTCCTACAGAGTTTTACCTGACCTTACTCGGTCCCGAGTATTCACCCGTCATGTATAATCTACCAATTACCTCACCCGGTCGTGGTCTATAATTTCTTTACTAACATCTAGTCCAAGTCTTAGCGTTTAAACCATATTCGAAGCCTTAGCAACCAACGTGGACGGGTCCCACTCGAACGGCCCACGTAAACTTACTCAAAAATTGCATATTGGGTGTAAAACCCAATACCCGGTCGGGTATTACCCATACCCGGTCGGGTAGGGTGAGCCAGTAGCCCCTGGGACTGTTTTTAACTAATACCCGGTCGGGTCTATACCCATACCCGGTCGGGTCTAGTGTGGTAGTGGCTCCTGGAACCATTTTTAACCAATACCCGGTCGGGTATTTACCAATACCCGGTCGGGTATTACTTTTGTCTTGGCGGTCAACGCCTGTTTGACCACCCAAACGAAGTCCGATTAACGTGAAATTTTATACACATGTACTTCTTGACGTCCTTAATCCAAAAATGCCCTTTTGGGTCCTTGGAACATCATACATAATTAATTATCACATGTTTAATCATCAAGCTTACTCAACATCCTTTTCAACTATAGTTTTCATATAATCATGGAATAACACATACTTGATTATCTTTACTCATTCCATAAATTATATTCTTGATTACTTTAAGTAATCTCATGTCTCACTCAAAAGTTATAAAGCATAAAGCCGTCTTCACACAACTATTAATAAGTACTTCATACTTATTAATCGTTTATATATTTCGTTCTAGTTTATACTTCATACTAGATTTAATTTAATGACATGTATGATTAAGTACTTGAATCCTTCAAGAATACCATCTTGAATTACCTTAGTTAATTTCCAATTATATCATTCATGATTATCCTTCATCAAAAATATTAATAATTCTTTTACTCATTAATCATGCCATTTTCACATAACTTATAATCATTATAGCTAATCACATGTTTAAACACCTTTAAATATTTCTATACATATTCACATACTAGATCACTCTAGTTATCTCCTACATAGTCCATGTATGCATTTTCATACATTTGACAATAATATATTCATGATTAATCCACAAATAAATCTCTTATTCATTAATCAAGTAATATTTCCATAATTCATATTCACCATGACTAATCATGCATTTTAATCCATTTAATCATTTCTCAAATCATGATAAGGATTTTATTTAGGTAATCCCACGTTTGACCCAAGAGTTACAAGACACGTAGTCGTCCACTCACCTCGAAATGACGCTAGCAAGCTTTATCCTCTTCGTTTGGATTCCGACGACTTTTGATATTTTCCGGCGAAAACTCCGGCGGCTCGGGTGACTTTTACGACCACTCCTAGATTCTTTGAGAAGTCTAGAATACCTTGGTAAAATTCCTAACAAGGTTTCACAAACCAAAAGCGGTATAAATATCAAAACCTCCCGAGAAGGTGCTTTCCGGCGAACCGATCTTACTCCGTTCATAAGTCCGTTCATGGTTAAAACTATCCTTCCAACCCCTCATTCTACACCTCTAGGAGTGTAGAACAAGCTTATGTGTCTATCATATGATTTATAAAATCATATGAGATAAAAATGAAGGATGAATACTACTAATGAATTCGTTACCTTGATTTCATAACTTTTTCCTCATTTCCACCATCCTTTCTTCTTACTTGGACCTCCCTTTGTTTGACCTCAAAATGTAGCTATGGAATATGATGTGCAGAGATTTTTTCTTGCTTGTTGTGGATGGGTTGGCCGAACTCATTGATAGGAAAAGGAGGGATGTGATTTTTTTGTCTCAAATGAGTAATAAGGGTAGGATGGGAGGTCCACCCCTTGTCATCCATATACCAACCATCACCCTCATGAATTATACACCACATTTCCCTTATGTGAAGCCCCTCATTTGTCAACTTGAGCCTCCTAAAATGTGGGGTGGCCCCCACTCATGTGGGAGGTCATCCCTTTATGTCCCCGAATGTACATTCGGCCTCGAAAGTTGTATTTCTCGGACTGTTTTAATTATATTTTATTTTATGGGGTCAAATACAATATAATTCATTCTTCCAATTAATATTGGACTCTAAAATGAATAAATATTATCCCACTTTAATTTAGTGGTCCCTGGAATTTATTTCGGTCTATTATCTATTAAATTCACAATACCGGTAATGGGACCTCATTTGGTCAACCGGCCAATTCTATGGCTCAACATGAATTTACACCATCACATATATATTATCTAGACGAAGATGAATATAATATGTGGTCCCATAAATATCGGATTTTCCCCGCTCCTAGTGTAGGCTCAACGTGCAATTTACTGTTCAAGTAACAGTAAAAACGAGAACGCGTCATCTCGTAAATTCATTAGTCATTTCTCATGACTCAATATGTGTTTTGAAATTTTGTGACACTTTAATAAAATGTTACACTTCTTTTTAAGTGGTCCAAAATGTATGAGCAGATAAAATCTTATCTGTTTGTCCTCATACAAAAATATCTTCAAGGTAGGGTCCTCCAAAAGTACCCTCCTTTAATGCACCAATTTAATCATAT